AAAGTGCTTCTTTGCAGCAATACATATTAACAACAAATGTCCAAAAATGGGAAATAACAGTAATAGGAACTACAGCTGTGATTGGCTGGCAATGCTGTGGTAGAGGGCGGTAGTGAGCCGGACAAACCATGATCCGATGCATCAGAGGATCATTCGCAATTCTAAAGTCGAGCATGACGGGTGAGTTTACACACAAGGAAAATGCTGACATGCATCTCATGTATGGTGCTGCTAATGGGAATGGTAGAGCAGCTCTACGGTTGTACAGAAATAGTTTCCAAACAGGCGTATGCCGAAGCACACAATGTTCAAGAGGTTGCACTGGTCTCTGTGTAAAAGCGGGTCATTTGAAACCACCTCTGACACTAGGAGTGGAAGAAGTGCATGACAACCTCGCATTGAAGAATCTATCTTGAACATTGTGCATGAATCACCTCAGATAAGTACAAGAGCTATTGCACGTTGTCTGCAGCTGAGTCATTCCACCGTTTCGAGAGTATTGCATGAAAATGGTTTGCACCCATACCATTTGCAGAGAGTTCAAGCCTCGCAAGAGACAGATTACCCTCTTCAAGTTCATTTCTGTCATTGGTTCTTACAGCAGTGTGCAGCGTTGGCATATTTCCCATTGGATGTGCTATTCATGGATAAGGCAACTTTCTCACAGGGCAGCATCTTCAAATAGCCACAACATGCACGTGTGGGCAATTCATAATCCACATGGCACACGCCCACATGCAACCCACCTCTCCGTGAATGTGTCGGCGGGTATTGTTAACGACTACCTCATAGGCCCATACCTGCACGTACAAATGGCTTATGTTATCATATTTTTCTCAAGAGGTGCTACTTGAATTGCTGCAGGATGTTCCGGCTGTTGTTCGTGATTGCATGTGGTTCCAGCATGATGATGCATCAGCCCATAACCACGTGCGGGTCCGCAATTATTTGGATCGGACATTTCCGGGCCGATGGATTGGCCATGGTGGACCCATTCGATGGTCACCCCGTTTGCCAGATTTATCCAGCTTAATTTTTTTTATGGGGCCATCTGAAGAACATCATTTACGAGACTCCTTTGACTCACTGGAGGACCTCGTTGCACGACTATCCATTGTGGCTGCAAGCGTGCACAAAATGTCTGTCGTTTTTCAAAATGTTCGTCAATCTCTTCTGCGATGTTACCAAGCATGTATTACTGCTGCTGGTCGCAATTTTGAACATTTATTGTGAATACTGTATTGCTACAAAGAAACACATTGCGCTGATTTTGTACATAAACACATTTTCCTCTCGTGTTTTTTTTTTTTTTTTCCCTGTCTTAATCCGTCACTTTAGACCCTGCATTCCTATAAAAAAATTCATGTTTTAGTATGCTCCACCACCCCTCCAAGTTTGTCCCATGATCTCTGAAACACCTTGTATAAATAATCGACTCCCAAGTTGTTCAACTGACAATCATGTTCCTTATTTTCTGAAGTACGATGAAAATCCTAATTTGACAAACATGTGTGTATTTGGCTGTGATACTTCTACTCTTGTGCCACCATCCCAAAGAAAGAAACTAGATGAAAAATCTGTCAGAATGATATTTGTAGGTTATTCCACAATGGAATATCATTTAATGATTCCAGAAACAAGACGCATCATTGTTTCCAGAAATTTTAAGCTCAATGAAGAAAAGAAGAAAGTAAAAAGTCAAAAATACATTCCCAATAATTCTGATTTGAGTGAAAATGACAATGATGACATTAAAAATGAAGACAAATCAGTTTCAAACACTGATAACAGTGAATTATATGCTTCAAATGAGAAGAAGGAACAGAGAAAATCTTCAAGAGAAAAGAAACAACCAGTTAGGTATCCTAATCCTGAGACTTACCAAGTGATGTTTGCTCAACAAGACACTCTGACATTTGAAGATATTGTAAATCTACCACACGTAGAACAAGATCTATGGAAAAGAGCTATGGACGAGGAAATGAAATCTATGGAAGATAACGACGTTTGTGATCTACAAAATTTACCCCCTGATAAAAGAGCTATTTCCTGCAAATGGCTTCAATGTAAAAAACGAGATGGAACTTATAAAGACAGGCTTGTTGATCGTGGCTTCATGCAAAAAGAAGGCATAGACTATACAGACACATTTTCTCCAGTAATTTGTATGTGCTCTTTACGTTAAATCCTAGTAATCATCAATAATGAAGGTTTACAAACTTTTACTTTAGATGTCAAGACAGCTTTCTTGAATGTAAGTTAGATGAAACCATCTACATGAACCAGCCCAAAGGATCATGATAATATGAGTGAAAATAAGAAATGTAAACTTGAAAAAAGTTTATATGGATCTTAAACAGTCTCCTTGACAATGGTATCAGAAATTTCTTAAGTATGTTATTAAATTAGATTTTACGCAATTGGACTCTGAACCATGTATTTTCATCAGAAATCTAAATTGTAAAAAAGTAATTATGGCTCTTTATGCGGATGACTTATTAATTGCAGGTTTGGGTGTAAAAGAAACAAGTAATATAATATCATTGTTATCTAATGAATTTTAAATATCAAAATCTGCAAGTGTCAGAATTTTTAGGCATTAGACTGAAGTATGAGTCGAGTTGTTTATACTTAGATTAGAAACCATATATTGAAAAATAACTTGATAAATTTAAAATGTCTGATTATAAAACTGCCCAAACTCCTATTGAACCAAAATCTACAGCAGCTGTTTTTTAGAAAGGAAATACATTCAGGGTTGCCACTTAAACAAAATATGTGTAAATCTCTAATAAATCAGACTGGATCGCAGTTAAAGTAATAAACAGAGGAGCGTTCTTCCACACAACATTTATTCACGAACACCAAAGACGAACTGATACATATACATAATGACATCACAGTTTCTTTTACAAACAAACATTACCGCCATTCTATTGGCGATCTATGGATAACATCCTAAACTAAACACACTCAAACAGGAGAATGAATCCCTGACTTTCCAGTTTTCCAGGTGCGTTTCAGAAAATTCCAGTTATCCGCGTAATGTACGTTGGCTCGCTAAGAGGTAAATATGGTATTACTTGTATGTGTGTAGCAAATTCACTTAATATTCAATAAATCCCAGAGGACATTTATTTTATTATCTTGGTATACTTGTTTGATAATTTTGTTTACTTTTCCACTTAAGAAACTTAATAAAATTTAAGATATATACATTGGATAACACGGTATGTTATTTAATTATACTCTGATCATCACCAGTTCAACACGAGGCTAATCCGGTCCTTATAAATCAAACGCAATGCTAAATAGTTAGGTTATTTTAGGTAAATTTAATTAGGTATGTTCTTAAAAAGCACCTTAACCTTGAAAACACAAATATAATTATAATAGTTCTTCAATAAACTGGAGCTGCGAAAATTGGCTCTATGCCAGACACTCCGTGATAGGCAATTCGCCAAAAAAGTTATCTCTTCCGACGTCGGCGCAAAAATCGCTTTTTTTGGCGATCTTGTATGAACTTCCTGACTTTCCAGATTTTGACAAAAAATATTTAAATCCCTGACTTTTCCCTGAATTTTTGGTCAAGTTTCGAATTCCCTGACTTTTCGCGGTTTTCTCCAGTAGCGTGGCCAACCCTGTACATTTCATGGCCCATATAAAGAATAATGGATCTTACTTACTTAGATATTATTACAGGCCAGATATTTTATTACAGTAGTAAATGCTTAAGTCAACGCAGGAGCATCCTAGCTATGTTCCCTGGTGTGCTCTAAAGAGAATTCTTAGGTACTGAAAAACACCTTAAATTAAAAATTATATACAAAAAGGATGATTTGGAAATGGCAAACTTATGTTTGTATGTAGATGCAGATTGGGGGTGGAGAGATATCAAGATAGGAAATCAATTACTGGTTACTTTATAACGTTTTCAAACTGTCCTATTATGTGGTGCTGTAACAGCAAAAGTGTATTGCACTGTCATCAACAGAAGCTGAAATAATGCTTTATGCAAGGTATTCAAGAGTTTATGGATAAGAAATGTAGTAAATGAGTTCCAGTGTTAAAAAATGTTATATTTTTGAAGATAACCAGTCATATATTAAAAGTATTGTTAATGAAAACTTTTTAGGTAGGTTGAAACATTAGGATATAAAATTAAAGTTCACTCGTAAGACTTTTAAAGAAAATAATATTAAAATTGAATATGTACAATCAAGTTTACAAATCGCAGATATGTTAACTAAGGCTCTGTCCAAAACAAAATTTTATGAACTATTGTCATTGAACTGTTTAAAAATTGTGTCATTCTTTTAACTTTTCTATAATGTGCAATTATTGCGGAGTGTTGAGATATTTGTAATCGCATTTTTATTGGTTAAAAGGAATTATAGCTTTCTGTCACATCCAATGCATTCTGAAACTTAATCCTATTTTATTTGTTTATATTTATGTTATTTTTGGTTGGTTGTTTTCTGTGTTTTGTTTGTGATTCATTAAACTATGATCTGCTGTAAAGTTATATACATAACCTCAGTAAACCTTTTTGCTGTGTGTGTATTTCTTCTTTTTGCTTTGTAATAAATGTTTGTTTTTCGAACCACAGCGTTTTAAATGTTCAATACTATGCAAAGCTGACTTTTTTAAGATAGCTTTATTTTTTTACGATGAAGGGTAACTAGACATAGTAAACCATCAAGCATAATAAAAAATTATAATAGATGATAATGCTAAAAAAATTCAAAATATTTCCCACTAGTATCATAATTAAACAATCATTTGATTATGCCGTTATATAATATTTATAACTAAAATTCTTGCACTAAGAGGGAAAAGGAAACTAATAAACAGATATAACATTTAATCCATTTTTTGAAAAAACACAAAATTTTTCCTGGCAGATAACATACATAAAGCCTTCAGAAACTTCTTATTTACCATTTTTTAAGAGCTTCTTTGTATTATATGAAATTTCATTTCATTTTTATATACTTTACCTGATCATCAACTTCTTGAAAAGGATCCACAAAGACTATAACTTTCAGTATTTTGATTTCTTCCTACAATATGAAAGATTGCTGCTGAAAGTCTTCACATGATTAGACATGCAATTAAATTGAGAAATATAACATTATTATTAAAATGTGTACTTTTAAATGTGAAAAATCTATTTCCATAATCTATATCAATAAAAAAGGAAGGCTATAGAACATTTTTTGGCTACTTAATTTTTTTTTTTTTTTTTTTTTTGCTGTTTATTCCATTTGCTGAAGTGCTCACAGACAGGAAACAAAATGACTTATGCACTAGAAAATCAATGACGGATTATTCTACACTATTTCCCACCTCTCCCATTTCCTGTGAAAACACTTCTGTGGGAAATCCTTTGACGCAGTTATGTGACATGAATTCAAGGACTTCTTTGTATGCACAATCTCCAAGTTTTATCTGCTAGTTATTGCACAGCTGCAGGAACACTGGCAAAGAGGACTGGATGCTAAAGGACCACTTTGATACATAATATACTGAGTAACATATGCTGTATGTCTGTCTGTCTGTTGATCTGATGGAAAGACTTTTTGGTTCTTGAATGGAAAGCAAGTCTTTTTTTTTTTTTTTTTTTTTTTTTTAATCATTAACTTAAGTTGTAACTTAAGTTTCTCTCAATATACATCTAAGCTTCAAATCTTTTATAATTAATGTCAGTTAAAAGATTCCTTATTTCCTTTTTCAGCATTCTCAGTTTTATAATTTATTACAAGATCTGCATGCTTAAAATAGTTCTTTATTGCATTTTCTGAGACAGTTTTAAGATATATCTCAAATATGTACACTCTGCACAAAAATAGGGGGGGGCAGTTGTATATCTCAAACTCTAATGGGTCAACTGATGAGATTTAACTTGTGTTTTTTGTGTTTCTCATGATTCAAAAGTGTGACTTAGAATATATATTAGATTTATACACAGCTTGATCTAACATAGGTATTTTGACAAAAAATGGTACTCTTCCTGAAATGACATACTAATCTTTTTTCCATATCTTAGTTCTACGACTCAAATTATGCCCAAATATTAACTTTTGTAACATTTGATGAGAACTTACAGAGAAATTAAAAAATGCATCTTCATATACTTTCTTCAGTTTGGTTGTCAAGAATAATTCACTTGGCAAAATTCTTAATTTATAGTAAGCTATTTTCCTTTCCCTCTTTTCACTGTGCACATGAAAAAAAAAAAAAAAGAAGAAGAAGAAGAAGAGGTGCATCATTTATTCATTCAGATAATTTTAACAAAATGCGTAAAACTCATTTGGCATTATTATTGCTTATAACAAATATGCCAAATTTGAAAAAGTGCCAATACATAAATTCATGTACATCTTTGAAAATTTTGAATAAAAACCTATGTTATATATATATTTAATTTATATCCGAAGTCATGCTTTTGAGACATGAAAAATACACGTTAAATTTCGTCAATCAGGCCATTAGCAGGATATAGAGAACTCCCCACTTTTTTTTTATTGCAAGGTGTACAGCATCAAGAGAAATAGGTCTCCTGAACCAGCTTATATTTATATTTTCTATGTTATGAAGGATTTCTTATAACCTGATATCCTTTCATCATTTAAGTGATCTCTTAATTACACGGTTAAATTACATATGAGGTATTTGCTGGAAAGCATAGAATACAACTTCAGTAAGATTTTCATATTGTGCTCTGCATTACTGCTAATGTAAGAAGTACATCATTCTTCAATTATCATCACATTAAAAAAATATTAATTAAAAATTCCTATCATCAGTTATGCACTTGACAATTTTATCTTATATTTGGCTACTTTACTTTAGTAAAAAATAAATTCCTATTCTATAACATTTTAATCATATAAATGACTATTTTATTATAATAAATGATGAATTCTATATGTTATTATACATAAACAAATAAATAACTATATCTGAATGGTAACATTAACCATGACCACATTAAATTACAGCTACTGTACTTTTTTATGCATGATTTTCTTTCAATGCTGGTGTGTCTTTATTCTGAAGATCAAGGTAGTGCTGCTATAACTGTTTGCAATTTTGGCACCAATGTTGCATTTATGCTTAAAGCAAAAATTTAAGCATGAAGATACTAAATAATAGGTTCTCATGGAAAATTCAAACAATATACGTTACATCAACTAATAATATATTCAAAAGCATATCATTCATTTGCAGTTCATAAATAATATTGAAGATGCAAATACATCTATTTTACTAATATTAGCCTTTAAGAGTTTCTGCAATTTCACTTATGCATAGGATAGCACTTAAATAAACGAGGAAATACTAAACACATATATAGTATAAGCTTAACTATCATGCTATATACCATGCATTTTTACAGGAGCTAATAAAGTTTTGCACTGGTTGATATACTGGTAATCGAGAGAAAACACTAAGCACATATACAATATAAGTTTAACTATCATGCTACATAACATGTACTTTTACAGCAGCTAATAAAATTTTGCACTGGTTGATGGCTTTGAGCAAGTGTCTATAGTTTTTGTCACTGCTTCTACCTTTTCCTCTCAAGCTTCTTCTGCTTGTGAAGAGCATTCTATCTTCTACTTAACTAATTCCTTCAAATAAGTGGACTAATATTAAAAACCAAGGTGACTTAAAACTCTTTTTGTTCTTTGTGCTTTTAAAAATGTTGCTATACAGACAGAAAGTGATCTTATTTGCCAGTAGACAAGCATCCTTACATAACAAAGGAATTAATGCCATAATAATACTTGACAATGAGTTCTATAAAATGTTATTAGAATAATGAGCAGTTTTGTGGTAGCTCAGTCATTTTTTTCAGCATATCTTATACTATGATTCTAATATCATATGCATAAAAATCCATCTAGTATTAAAATTTCTAATTAGTTTGATATTCAGTTTAACTCTTTGAAGACCATATTGGCCCAGACAACCACAACCAGACCAAACAGCTGAAATTCTGATGTAGTCTTCTTCCCTCCCCTAAGGTATGCAGTAGCAGGTGCAGTTTCCCCAAATGCATTATATCAGTTTATTGCAGACAGCTTACCCTAAAAGGGTTTATTTGTGGTTTCTTAGCTTTATTAATTAGAAATAGAAAGGATGCATTTTGAAATCTTCACTCTTCTTTGTTTCGAAAACCATTTTGAGTGTTTCGGTATTTTAACATACAGGTTAGCGACGACAAGCACTTTTAATGAGTTAAAGACCAAAATTGCAACTGTCTATTGCCAATGGTTCAAAAATTGTTAATTTTAAGTTTTGAATCACAGAAGTTTTCATACACTTCACATATAGATGAAATCCAGTTTACACATAAATACAAATTTAAGAACAGATTACTATTTTAAAATAATGCAATGAAAAGTATAACAGAAATACTTTAAACACAATAAAAATAAAAAAGTCATATTTCAAGAATTTTATTACGTTATGTGTTTCATGAATATGTATATTGCAATAATACAAATATCATTCCATATTTACCCCATGTATAAATATTATACAAAAAATTTTTGAAATAAAAATAAAATCCTGTCAGAATAATAAAGTTAAGCAATGCAATAAAATATCAATTATTTGCATAACACTACTGAATAAGTACACAATACTAAGGAAAAAGTATGACAAAACAATGACTTACAAGCGGTTTATCATTTTTATCGGTTTCAATTTTTTCCATTTTGCTGAGAGTATCCATGCCTCCTACAACCCTTTAAAAATATATCCATTAAGAAAATGATCTTAGCAATTTAATGTTCTGTGAAATTTAAATATTTAATTTCAACTGGAAATAAAAATAGAAATAATTGATAAACTTATAAAAATTAAATAGAATTAACATAGGATAAATAAAAAATATGATTATTTAATTTGGTTTTAATACATTGACTGCCCCAGCACTTTTCGGATTCTGGTCCAAGACGCCAAATCGATTTAATCATATTATATTATTAAAAATACTAATTATGATTCATAACAATCATTAAAAAGTTTACAGGAACTTTTTTTTGTAGAAAAAAGGGTCTTACAAATTATCTCGTAGTCGGCTTTTGTTAGACAAAGCTGTACACAGAAGCCCACTACAAGTTGATTCGTACATACATCCTTCGACTTGTCGCCTCGGTACAGCTAAAACAAGCACTAAGGGAGTAAGTAGCTCATAGAGGCGCAAAAGTGGCAAGTAAAGAAACTACGAGATAACTCATATTGGGCATACTGAAGAAGAGCGCTAATACAAGTTATCTCATGTTGGGCAGTCAACTGGCTAACTATAATACTTATCTGTCCAAAATGCATACAGCAGAATTTTCAAAATGGAGTAGATTTCAAGTGTGCTATTAGAAGAAACCATTCTCCAGTTCTAATACATGCTTGAATGTGAGCTGTCTTTAAATGTTTGCGATAGTTGTTATAAAAGTGCATGTCACTTCCATTACATTTAGAATGATAAACTTGTCATTCAGTTGACGACTGAAGCAATCAATATGATTAAAATTTATTATATATCCATGCAGGTTAGGAATTCTTTTTTAGTGTTGGCTCTCAAAGTTTACATAGTGCTACTTTAAAGCACAGTCAATATAAATATATTAGAATTTTTTATTATTACCAATAATTTTGTTTATTATTTTAGGTTAATATATAACTAAAGTTAAAATAGGTGAAATAAAGATAGGAACTCTTTTCAATGTTGGTTCTGGAACTAAATATGAAAATTTCAATTTGATGGTGAATGTTCTCAGCTATTATCATAGGTCATAATATTCATTACAGATATTTTAATACTATTTTAGTAAAAAAAAAGTATTTGTATATTGAGCAGATATAAAATATAACCAGTACGTTAAAAATATCCCAATTAAAAATGAAAGTTTGACTAGCTATGACATTTTCATTATGAGGTTACACTGAATAACAGGGCCTAGAGTCATCAAGGCAAGAAATGCCACCCAATACAGTAATTCAGTCATTTTAATAATACATTTATGTGAATTATAATTTCTCTAGACAAAAAATAAGTATGTGGTTTGTTTACTTGCTTAGTGCATGCAACAGTTTTGTGCACTCACCTGGTATCAGACTTAAAATAATAAAAAATGTTACAAATAAATGACGGAGGAAAGTCTTATTCCTGAAGGAATGGTATTTCTGATAACTTTAAATGGCAATGGAGAAAAATAGTTAAAAATAAGAGCAATCAAGGCAGAAAAGAAATTATTATTTATTTATTATTTTTAAATGCTACAGTGTCCAATTAAGTAATTAAATTTTGAATTCATCCACCCTTCAGACTTATACAAAGTCAGTACTTAGTACATTTATATTAAGCTACTTAATGGAAATTTCTTGCATGTATACTATAATTACATATTATAAAAATTTTAAAAAAAAGTTAATGAAATAAGTCTGAAAGCTTTCAGATTTTATACTGCGCACAAAGGTTTTATACTGTGCCCTTTTAACATTTCGTGCATTTACCTTTATTTATTAAATATCATATTCTTCACACTTAAACCACATAAAATTCAGTTCAACAGCAATATCACAAAATATTTAAAAACAGCATATCTTTAGAATTTCCGACAGACACTCTAGCACGCTGGAGATAAAAATGTTTTTTTCTTTACAGTGTTGCCATTGCTCGCTTTGAAATCGTTGAGTTTGTTAATCGAAAATTCATTAAATTTTACAAAATGTGAAATACAAAACAAATTCAAAATTTGGGCCCATATTCCCATCATAACTAAAGGCCATTTGGGCAATAATAAAAGGTGCCCATATTTGGGTGGAGGATAACGTTGTTCAAAATTTGATGGAGGTACTGTCGTTTTTTCACAATGTGAGAAGCAAACATACATTAATGCAGATTCCTCATTATTTAATTTCTTTAAATATAATACAGGATGGTAATATTTAGTGGCAATAATTTAAAAAGTGATTCACTGTTTATAGCGTAACCGCCACAAAATGCCGTTTGAGACTAATGGCTTTTCTGTTCTACTAAAGCAATAAAATGTTTTATACCATGCATAGAAGTTCATATTACACTTAAGAATTATGTAACAAATTGCAGAAAATATCATTTTACATGGGAATGAAAAAAACTGAGTATAAGAACATTAAAAAAATTAGCACTATTATCTGCCATGCCCTATTGCAAGTTGAATTTGAAGAAAAAATTTCAAATGCAGAAAATATATATATTAAAAAAAGCATAATATTGATATTATTTTTATACTTTTTCTAAAAAGAGGAAATACAGTTATTTAGAAAGAAATTAATTTCTTTTTGCCATCAAGCTGTGAAGCCTCCATTATCTATGAAGAATGGCATTGCATTCAGTGAAAAAAGTACAATCGTAAGCATGTTCAGAGAAAGAATTAATTGGGTTAAACCAAGGGTTCCCAACCTCTTTTTTTACTTGTGGACCTCCTAAACCCGAACTTATAGTATGTGAATCTCCAAATACACATATGTAATATTCCTAAGAGAAATATTAATTTGTATCATAATAAAAGCTAATAATTAAACATTTAAAAATTCCTAAATGAAATATTTATTTATAGGTTATTAAAAAGTAACAGTTAAACAATTCCAATACAATATAAAAAATGTAAATTAACACTTTTTGGACATTTTTAAAGGGTTCACTAAATCTTTTGCCTATCCACATACTTTCTAATTGCTCTAAACCAAGTTACAAACTGAGGTACTATTACGATGTCTGATAACCGTGATCAAATAATATTTTCAAACAGATTTGGGTCATAAATGATGAAGCAATGTAAACTAGAATATTTGGAAGAGAAGCACATCAATGTGAAATTTAATATTTGGCAAAATAAAATTTTAGATTACCGTATTTGACGGCATATAAGACGCACTTTTTTCCCTAAATTTGGTCTCAAAAAAGTTACGCGCATCTTATATGTGAAGGATACAGGTTAACTTTCAATACTGAATGCTATTTTTAGCCCAGATAAAGGTCTAGACTCACATAACCTTTTTTACATCTGCCATAATTATTCTGCGCATGTGTGAAATATCTGCCGCCAAGAAGCGCCAAAGCTTGAAGCTGATGTCGAAGTTCGAACATGTTTCAACAGTCACATTACGTCTATGAAGCCTTTCCTTTACATAGACTTTCTTTGACACAGCCGACACACATTTTGGTATCGGTGCTACTCCATGTCGATATCGATGCTTAAAACTATTTGTTAAAAAAAAATACCCTGGAAAATATGACTACAGGAAACGAGATTAAGCTATAAAATTCAGTATAAACTAGGAGTGTTAAACTACGCCAAAGTGCAGGAAAACAGAACAGCAGCAAGGCATTTCGGTCCACCACCTACCGAAAAAATGATACGTACTTGGCGACTGCAGGAAGATCAACTGAAGACTACTAAAAACCAAAAACATAACCTTCGATGCCCAGCTCTATCTTGGCCTGAACTTGAAAATGCCGTAAAAATGTGGGCGATAGATAAGAGGAAATCTGGGATAAGTGTTTCAACCAAAATGATAATCAATGAGGACAAAGGATTTGCAGAAAAAGATGGGAATCAGAATTTTTCAGGGTCTGAGGGCTAGTGCTACAGGTTCATGAAAATGAGGCTTATCAATGCGCACAAAAAGAACTATTGTACAGAAAATGCCAGCAGATTATGAAGAAAAAATACTAGTACAGTAGAAGTTCAGAAATCCGCAAAGCTTGGGACCAGAGTTTGTGCGGATTTTAGGATTATGCGGATTACAAGACAGAAAAGATAAAGCATTATATTCGGACTAAAAGTGCAAAATAAATAAGGCATATTAATTACATTTAATTAAATTATTATACACATATTGCAATAATTTATTATTACATATATAAATTGATTCTATTATTCACTGTACTATATGTACACAGCATCGAGGTTTGCCGATTTCACCTCATGCAAAGATTTACAGTTTTGGATTCCGGTGTTAGAATCACTGTTACTGTAAAATTTCAACAGCTTTTCTTTATTTTTTCATATATCATACACAATCGTGTTGCAATTCCATACCATTCTGCTATAAATCAAGGAGTAGCACCTGTTCCATCTTTTGCAGAATTTGCACTTTTTGCGTTACCGCCAGTCAATGCAACGTGTTTACGTTATTCAACGTTGCAAGCAGTAAAATCATGAGTGCGTTTCTTATCTGTCATTGTAATGAAAAGGGTTGAAATTTAAAATATTTTTAATTTACCCATAGAATATCAGGATAAAAAAAGGCAGCACTAAACAATCTCGTGAAATAACAAAGCTCAGATAATATAACAACGTGAATCGTGAACTTGAAAGAAGAGTTGAGTGAATCGTGTGCTTTTTTACCTGGATGCAGAGATTAGAAGGAAAAAAAAACTGTTATCTTATATTTTTTAAACTTTTTTATTATGTCAATAATTTGGTATTTACGTTATGACTCATTATTATTTCGTAATTATGACGTCATTATTTGGTAAGTATTTTTTCTTCGATATTTCGTACTCAGTGTTGCGGTTTCCAGAACCTATAAACTGAATGTTTATATTTTGAGAGGCAATGCGGATTTCAGGAGTCGGTAGATTTCTGGTCAGCGGATTTTCGGTATTTGACTGTATTTCATAGGTTTCTTATAAATGCATGCAAGAAAACTTCTTTTGAGCTTGGTCAAATAGGAAATATGGATGAAATTCCACTCA